ACATACTTTAAAGGAATTTCATCAAAATTTTGATAACCATTAATACAAAGTGTTTAAAAAGAAGTTTCAAAATATTCAAAATGTTCAGAAAATCACCTTAATTATTTTTTTCAAATCAAAACACTCATTTTTGATCATTTCATCTTATTCAGTATTAAAATATGGGCAAGTTTGCGTAAAGTTGTCCTGAATTCCAAAATTGTTTAGTTTTTGGAATATTGTCAATTTAATATTTTAATATGTCTATCTTGCCCTCATATCATTTTAAATCCTTCCCCTTTCAGTTGCCATTACGAAAGTGGCCATTTTTAATTCATTCAAAAGCGAAAAGAATGATGACAGCTGTTAGTTACCTTTTCAAAATAATTAGTAATCATGCCCGGACGCTTAAATTATACAAACAAAGATTATTTTAATTTTTTTATTATTTATGGAGAATGCGATAAAGTTATATCAAGAACCGTTTATCTATTATTATATTGAATTTTTCTTGAGAACAAAAACCGGTTTTTTTTTCAAATCTAAGGGTCTCTAAGTTTTCTGGCTATGTAACTGACAGCTGTCAGCATGCCTTTGGTATTTGATTGTATAAAAATGACCACAGTCGTCACGGCAACTAAGAGTGACAGAATGTAAAATTTTAAATAATGGCCATTTTAAATACATGGGACCATTTTGACAATATTTTAGATCGCTTACCCCCAATGACTTCGACACAAGTTTCAATTTTAAAATTTCTGCTAATTATAGTTTGCCAGCTATAGATCGACACGGTTCCCGGTGGGACACCGTGTATATTCTTTTATGCACTCTTTGCTCACTATTCCATTAGGACAATTTAAACAGTTTGTCTATAGTAGTAGTTTCAAATTGTATGACTATCGGAATATGTTACTCACTGTCATCATGGAATTTGTTTATCATACTTTTCAAGAATTAATAGGAAAAAATTAAGTTAATTCATTCATTTCCTTAACGAATTAACTAATGTGCCCAACAAAGTCAAAACTTGCTTCCAAAATTGCATTAAGCAAAAGAAAAATGTCGTTGTGGAACAACTTAATTAAACTAATTAACGGCAAATTAAAAATACTTAACTGGCAATATTTCGTTTGCTTTGTAGGTGATACCGTTAAATATTTGAGAAAATTAAATACTTTTGTTAGATATTTAAATTATTGCTATTATATACAAACTGATCCAAAATTGGCGTCATTCCTCTGGAGGTGTTGCTGGGGGTGTCTTGGGAGTACAGAAAGAATAGTAAAAGAAATTAATTGTTATTAAAAACTGAGAAATTTCGAAAAAACTATATCAGAAATACGGCAGCAATCTTTTTCAAGGTAATCTGCCTAATTAACATTGGGCAAATACCTGTTGCTCCGTAATTATTTAAAACTCTCGTAACCATGGAATTATACAGAGTGACAATAAGATAGACAAGGATAAATGGTGTCGCGGGGTTGGGTTGTGGGTTTAGCCTCGGATTGTTTCACTCCACTTTATGGGTTGAAAGGCACTACTTAGGGGAAATTAAGCGTGGCAAATAAGCACCTGTTCGTGTAGTCGCGGACACCGTTGCATCATCAGTGGTCTCGGGATCACAGACACTCTCGTCGTGATCCTTAGTCGGAGGAAAACTTACTGGTGACGCAGGGCTGTCGGGTTGCGTAACTCCGCTAGACTGTTTAGGAGGCCGTCCTCGTTTCCTGAGCGCTCGGACTGGAGTCGTGGTGCTAGGCTGGTCACTGCGAAAAAGGGTCAAAGCTGAGGCACGGTACCTACCAAGAGTGGCTTCTGGATTGGTGGGCGCAGCAATCTCGAAGGTAGTGGGCGTGACTACGTTAGTCAGAACGTAGGGTCCGTCGCGCTTAGGGGCGAACTTGGAGGTATATGAATTCTGGCTTTGCTGAGGGCATGTGTCTCCACTAACACATGGTCGCCAAGTTGGTATTTAGGAGCTTCTCTGTGTTTTTGGTCGAAATACTTTTTGGAACGATCTTGTTGGTATTCGGAGGTGTCACGGGCAATCCGCAGTGTAGAGCTGATGTTCTTTAAATATGGGGTCAGTTGACATATAAAATTGTCAGCCTCTACTTTGGCTCGCATGTCTCGTCTGACGTCATCAGGGGACCTCATTTCCCGTGCAAACGTCAACAAGGCTGGGATATAACCGGTTGCTTGGCTTATGACGGTATTCATCGAAAACCGGATGGAAGGCACCTTATTTTTCCATTG